TCAGGTCATGATCCCAGGGTCCTGGGATGGAGCCCCGCATCGGGCTCCCTGCTCAGTGGGAAGCCTGCGTCTCCCTCTCCCACTCCCCCTGCTTGTGTTCCCTCCCTCTCTCTCTGTCAAATAAATAAAATCCTTAAAAAAAAAAATAAATGCCAAATCCACTCTTCATCAGCCTCCAGATCTTGGGTAAATTACTCAACCATAGTTTCTTCATCTGAAGTTGGGGATAATACTGCTTCTTATATCACAGGATTTAATTTAAAGAATGAATGAGATAAAATAGGTACTGAAAAGAATGTAGAATTTTCAAGTGCCAGTCACTTAAATGACAAAGAAACCCTTAGCAGTTTACTTCTGAAGTGGTTACATTATACTAGTCATTGTTCTAATATCTCTCTGATCTTTTTAAATCAAAATTATAAAATGTCATTGTTTTAGTTTAATTTCTCATAATTTAATTCAGTTAAATATTTAATTAGATTAAGATTATTACTGTTCAAGCAACCAGCATGTGTTATTTAGGCAACTGTTCTTCAGAATTCATTGATAAACTGATTACTCCCCTTAGGTATGTGGTTTAAAAGTCCTTGAAAAAATGAACAGCGTGGGCATCCATTCTTTGTTGCAGGATACCCATTTCACTTGGTAGATAATAAGATTACTAAGTGAAGGAGTTTGGTTTTAGTAAGAAAAATGCCTAAATTAGAGTTTAAAAAATCATGTCGAAGCTAACAAACAAGGAAATAATTATGAAAAATTTTTTATGGGTACACTTTATGCCAGTTTTTAATTGAGTTGGAGGCTCCTTTCAGTTTTATCCTGGTGGTGGAATTATAAATGAAGAGTGGCTTGGTTTTAACTACCTGATTGTTAAAGAGAAAGCCGAGGCAGAAGTGTTTCCTGAGAAAATGAATAAGCAAATTTATCAAGGAGTTAAACATGTTACCTATCACCAGGTACTTTCTAAAAATGTAATTCTAATATTGTTTGCCGAGTAGCCAGAATTTCTGGTTGATTGATCAGATATCCCCATTTATTCTTTCTGTCTTTTCTCAATTCTCTCATAACATAGGTCCCAAATATACCTCAGGAAGCTTTGGACAGATTGTTATCATTTACACACCAACTCAGAGAGACACAGGATCCCACGGTAAGTCTGGGCTTTTTCCCGTAGGATTTTTTGTTGTTGACGTGCTGCTGCTTTAAGTTCTCAGAGTTTAATGCTTTAAAATCTATTTTTCAAGCTGGTATTTTTATCTCTTATGCTGTGCTTTGCCCTGTGCATATATATTTTACTCTTTCAGTGATTTGAACATTGACTCCAGCTATTCATGGCTGGTCTCATAGAAGAAAGAAAACTAGCTTTCGAGCTTGGTGATCCTGAGGGTTCAGTTCTGGCCCCCAATCTCCTGTGCTGAGCAATCTCATCTAGTCCAAGTGTGACCTCTTCTATTAACGTTGACCTCTTTCTCTTCAGCTTCTAACTTCTCTTTTCTCATTGATTCTCTGTTTCTAATTGTATTTCCATCCTGGGATGGTGTAGGGGCAGAAAACTTTTCCCTTCCCTCCTTCTGGGTTCTTTGGCTGGCCTAACGATTAAATTCACACAAGACAGACTTAACAGGAGAAAACCCAATTTAATTCCATATATACATGGGCCCCATAAAAATATTATACTTAAAGCAGTGATCAAAGCAGACAGCTTTTATACCTTTTAGACAAACAATAAATTTGTAAAGAATTGACAAGACAAAGAAGTTTGGGCTTGAGGTAGCAAATTAGTGATGAGATAACAAAGTTTGTTTATATTGCCATCTTGGCCCTATGTTCCCTATTGCTGGCGCTAAGGATGCCTTCTACCCTCCTGGGACAGAAAGGATGCCTTTCATAGGGGAGATTTATTTCCTGCTTTCGGGGGACAAAGGAGGGTCAGAATGTCCTTCTTGTACTGGCTGTTTCTTATGTAACTTTAATTCAAAGTAATAAATATGTCAAAATGGCATGTTTTGGGGTGGCATATCCTGCCCCCCTGCCCTTTTTTAAAATTTCTTGCATAACTTTTATTTTAGCATTCACAGTTGAAAACACTTTTGCACTATAACAAAAAGTTCCCCCTGCTGTCAAAGTCCAATATACTCAATATAATTCATGCTCTATTAGGGGTGAAATAAAAAGGTTAGTTTTTAATCTGAGGTTTTCAAGCAATAATTAATATTTCAAATAGACCAAGGCAAATTATATATTTGTGCACAAAGGGATGAAAGGACTAACAAAAATGTTACTTGCTTTGAGCTGGAATTTTAATACCAAAGCCTGGTTGTATCATGCCAATCTGAAACATGATTGGTGATTATACATACATGCATTTGGATAGCAAAACATAAAGAACTAACTCTTCTTTAATACATGCAGTTTGGTAAGCGAAGTCTTTTAAAACACAGGGCACATGGGGAATGAAAAAGAGGAACTTGATGTTTAAAAAGTTGGAAACCACTGCATCTGTTGAAAGGATCAAGGGCTGTCACCAACTGTGAATCTCAGTGTTCTCATCTCTAAAATGCAAGTGCTATCTACTTCATAAGGAGGTTGTGATGATTAAACATGAAAATGTGTGTGAAGAATCTCTTCCTTAGTAGCTGCTTAATAAATGGTAGTTTCCTTCACTTCCCAATTGGATACTCTGGGATCACTATAAATACAACATATCTTGTACCACTAAACTGTCTTTCCCCTTTAAATCTATTCGTATTTCTTATTTAATTTTCTGGCTGTGTTAATAATCTGTCTCCTTGCCTTCCCATGATCTCCACTTAACCCGAAAGCAAATCTCATCAATTTAGCATCATGATGTCTCATCCATTCTCTTACCTATTGCCAGTAATTGTCCTGGTATTTGGTTTCATAATCTTTCCCCTGGAATATTGCCCTTTCCTTTTGACTGCCCTCACCAGCAACAGTTCATTCCTCATGTGGCCCTGGATTACTTTCCTGGGCCTGTTGTAACAAATTACCATAAACTGCTGGTTTATAACAACAGAAATTTATTTTCTCACCTTTCTGGATGCCAGAAGTTTGGAGTGCGTATTACTGCATCCAAGTCGAGGTATCCGCAGCACTCCCTCAGGGGCTAAAGGGAAGAATCTGTCCCTCGCCTTCTCCAGGTTCCAGTGGCTGCCGGCATTCCTTGACTTGTGGCCTCATTATCTTAATCTCTGCCTCCATCTTCACATCACCTTCTCTTCCATGTATCTGTTCAGACCTCTCTCTGCCTCCCTTTTACAAGGATATGTGCGCTTGCATTTAGGGGCCACACAAATAATCCAGAATGCTCTCTTCTTTTCAAAATCTTTAATATGGTCTGCAAAGTTAACTTTGTCATATGAGGTAAAACTCATAGGTTCCAGGGATTAGGATGTGGATATCTTTGGGGAGGGGACCATTTTCCAGTTGTCACAGACCCCCTAAACCCCAGGGATTAATAACTTCATCTCCAATTTGTCCCTTACTTGTTCTTCTCAGCTACACCATTCTCTTTCTTTTTCCTTAAACCCACTCATGTCTGCCTCAGGACCCTTGGCACTCAGTGTTTCCTCCGCTTAGATTTTCTTCCCCGGATAACTGCAATTCAAACTCCCCCGTTTGGATTTGCTCGGATGTCACCTTTTCAACGAGGCCTACCTGAAACACTCATTTAGAATCACATTTAGCCCCCATTTCATTCCTCTCTTTCTGCTTTAAAGTTCTTCATAAGGCTTATTACCCTTTGACATAATATATGTTTTATTCACTTTTTTTAATTGCTTATTTTCCCTCACTCAAGTTTAAGTTCCAGGATAGCAGGGGTTTTTGCTTGGGTCCCCGCTGTATCCGCAGCATCTGGAATTTTGCCTGCTATGTAGTAGACGGTCAACAAATGTCTGTTAAGTAAATGAATGAATGACTCATCCATAGTATCTCTGGAGTGGCCTTTCCCAAATCCAGCTCCTAAGTTCTCCCCATCATTAAACTGTTAAGGGATGAAATCTCTGCTTACGGACTGAAGGACAGCCTGCTAAATAAGCATGCCTGCCCAGTTCTGTCTGACTGTACGTTGCCTTTCTAGCCTCACTTTCTTACGGCTTCTCCTGAAGCACCCTCAGCCCTCCCGCACTTCTCTTCTTCCTGCTTGCTAAGCCCGGCACATACCCAGATGCCCCAGCTTCCTGTGACACCGCCAGAATGTGCTTTCTCCCTGTCCCCTGTCAGATCTCTCTCAGCCCCTCAGACAGAAGTAACCTCTATCTCCAACCTGCTCTCATGACACTTGACTTACGATTCTGTTATGGACCTGTGGTAGCTGTATCACAGGTTTATTTTCATCTCCTCAATTAGTATTTGAACTCCTTGAATAGTGTGGTTTATTCTTCTTTCTCGTTTTTCCAGCCTGGTGCCGGGCCCATAAGAGACACTTAACAAATGTTTGGTGGATGAATGAATAAAGTGATTGATTAATTAAGTACTAATTTATTAACACATTGTCCCTAGCGTTTTCTCTCCCTGAAAACAGTATGTTTTCATAAAAGAAATAATTCGTTAAGAGGAAAAAGAGAAGGTTTATTGAAAAAAATTTCTGATCAGATCCTTCATATTTTTAAGCTGAATTATTACTACTAATAATGCCAGTACAAGAAACCCCTTGAGGTGTGCGCTTAAACTCCATAACCATGGTAACTAAGGGAATGTGCTCATATCCTCATACTCTTTTTTGCAAGATAAAAGTGCAGTTAGAAATTTAATGTTATAAACGTTAAACACATTAGGAATTTTTTAAGTAAAGTGCATTCTGAATTTTTAATTGATAACGCAAGAGCAGAAATAAGCAAACCCTTTATTCAACATTTAAATGGCTCAATGTAAAGCTTTGTTCTGATTTTTTTTAACACTGGATGTTATTGTAAAGCATTTTGATGTTAGCAACTGAGAAAGCTGATATTGTCAAATTCGCAAGACGTCCTAACTGGAATGAAATGTAAAGCCTGAATTCAGTGTCATTCTTGGATGAGATGAGAATATTGTACATGAGGAAGTTACGGTATGGCTTATTAGGACTCCTGTCTTGAGAATCTTCAGGTTGGAATCATTTGTCAAACATTTTCCATGATTAAAATAGGAATTTTTTGTGGGCCCCCATATTCAGAATGGGAATTGCTGAGTCATATTTAGCTTCTGATACTTTAAATTATACTGGCTCAAATAACCTTAATCTTATCCTCAATTCTGCCTTCTTTCTCATATCCATCAGGGGCCAAGTTCTCTGAAATATTTGTTGATTCCTTCTCTCCACTCTTTTTTGCCTTTTTTGCCAGTAATCTTACTGTACCTTATCGTTTTATAGACAGATCATTGCAGTAGCTTTCTGTTTCCTGTCTCAGTTCTCTCTGTCCTTCAGCTACTTTGCATGCTACCACCAGATTAATCTTTCTAAAATCGTATTACCACTTTGCACATAACAAAGTCCCATTGCCTTTAGGAGTAAGGCCAGACTCCTCCAAGTGTTAGTCCCAGATCTTTGTTACTTAGGAGCAAGTTTTCCAGCAAGACCCTCTAGTAAAGCTGGGCTGATTTCCTCACATTTCTGCATCTATTTCTGTTCCTTTTGCTCTCATGCCTTTGTTCATAGCATTTCTTGTGCCCACTTGAATATTTTCATTTTAAGCCCCTCTAACAGTTGTCAAGTGCTTCACTTATTTTGGCATTAAATTATATGCTATTTTGAATTGCAGTTTATACTTTCTTATATTTAAATATTGTCTCCATGTCTAGAATGCAAATTTGTTGAAAACAAGGATGAACCAAATGTTTGCTTATGAGTTCTTTGAGACATAGAATGTGTTTTTTAATAGAAAAAGGGATACATCATAAATGGTGATCATGCTCCCAATCTAGTCCCAAAGGACCATTTAACCTATGTTGTAGCTGAGATATAATAGCATAGCACACCAGCATCTCATGGAGATGCGAAATACACACAGGAGGAGAAATCCCTGCCCTTTGTTCTTCCTTGGGACCTACCAAGATCAGCTTAAGTGAAATGCTGAAACAAGCCAATAGGCAGTGTGTCTCTGGCATCCTGGCACCCTCCCACCATCCATCCTGAACCCTCTGCTAACTTCATGGAGTCCTCCTCTGTGTTCCCTTAGGGGCTCAGGACCACTGTATTGCCCCCATTACCCCTGTGACATTTCCTCCTGGCCTCTTCTGCCCACCCCCCCAAAGGGCTAGTTGCTCCAAAAGTTCTTCTCTCACCTGGTTTTCAATGAAAACTGCTGTCTCCTAATGCTGCTGATCTAAATTAGAAATTAATCCAATAATAATCTGATGCATTAAATTCATACTGAAGTGCAGGTCGCATGCCCTTCCTGTGTTAGATTTTTTTTTCATTTTGAAGAGGGTGACTTTTAACAATAATTGCTGACATTTGTTGAGCACCCATGTGTCTGACCTCTGCTAAGTACTTTAGAACAATTTTCTTTTCTCTCTCTTTTTTTCTAGTTTCAAGTTTTTAATTCCAGTCAGTTAACATACAGTGTAATATTAGTTTCAGATGTAGAATTTAAGTGATCCATCACGTACATACAATGCCCAGTGCTCCTCACAAGTGCCCTCCTTAATCCTCATCACTTATTTATCCACCCTCCATCCACTTCCCCTCCAGCACCTCTCAGTTTGTTCTCTATAGCTATAAAGTCTCTTTTCTGGTTTGCCTCTCTTTTTTCCCCACTATGTTCACCTGTTTTGTTTCTTACATTCCACATATGAGTGAAATCATATGGTATTTGTCTTTCTCTGACTGACTTATTTTGCATAATATTCTGTAGCTCCATCCATGTTACTGCAAATGGCAAGATTTAATTCTTTGTTATGGCTGAGTAATATTCTGTTGTATGTATATACTATATCTTCTTTATCCATTCATCAGTCAATGAACATTGGGGTTCTTTTCATAATTTGGCTGTTGTTGATAATGACACTGTACTATAAACATCAGGGTGCATGTATCCCTTTGAATCAGGATTTTTGTGTCCTTTGGGTAAATACCTAGTAGTGCAATTGCTGGATTGGAGAGTAGTTCTATTTTTAACTTTTTGAGGAACCTTTTCCAGTGTCTGCACCAGTTTGCATTCCCACCAATAGTATAAGAGGGTTCCCCCTTCCCTGCATACCCGCCAACAATTATTGTTTTCTGTATTGTTAATTTTAGCTGTTCTGACAGGTGTGAGGTGCTATCTCATCATGCTTTTGATTTGTATTTCCCTGATGATGAGTGATGTTGAACATTTTTTCATGTGTCTGTTAGCCATCTGGATGTCTTCTTTGGAAAAATGTCTATTCATGTCATCTGTCCATTTTTTAACTGGATTATTTTTATTTTAGGTGTTGAGTTTGGTAAGTTCTTTATAGATTGTGGATACTAACCCTCATAACAACCTTAAATGTAAAGGCATTATTGTCACCAACTTCAAGATGAGAAAACCAAGGCTTGAAGATGTTGAATAATCCACCAGGCTAATACATGAGAGCCTGATTTGTCTGATTCCAAAGCTGATAAACTTTATCAGTCATTGCATTACGCTGCCCACTAAGATAATTTCAAAATCACGTTAACAAATATTTACTGGTACTCACATATCCCAGTTCTGTACTAGCAGCTCTATTAATGGGATTTCTTATTTTTTTTGAAGAATAAGAAAACAAAGTGAAATTCTTCTGGCATTATAAGCGAAGGATTTCAAACTGCAAGCTGCCACCCAAGGGACAAACTGGTTGACACCTCTGTGGTCAGCAACCTAAATTATCCACAATTCCTTTTCTCCATTTCAGAAGCCATAGATTTACCTAAAGCTCTAAGCATTTTCGGGCTATCTGAACAGTTCAACTTTGTGTGGGCAGGAAAAAAAAAAGAACAAATAGTTACTTGTACATAAAAGCTATTTGTAAGTCAGGTGTGGCCTGTATTATGTAACATCTTTCCTCCATCCAACCTCTTCTCCCCTCCACCCAAAAAACATGTATGCACAGCACTTAGCACAGTAAAAACGCTTTTATTGAATTTAACTGATAAACACTTTTTATAGATTCTTTTAAAAAACTATCTTTAAGGATGCCTTAAGTGTAAATTGGTTTTCCTTTATTTTTATTTGTAATTCATTAACAGTACTTATGTATTTGAAATTTGGCCTTGTCCTTCAGGAATAATGAATTCTGCTCTGATCCCATCTAAAGGGACTCTCAGCAAGTGGAAACAAGGCTCTTAACAGGCTGTCTTTGCCTTTTGATAGGCACAGTCACTGGCCGCATCACTTTCTACCAGACAGCTGTTGCGTATTTCTCGTCGGCTGTCACAGTACCCTAATGAAAATCTTCACAGTGCAGTTATGAAAGCCTGCCTTTCCAGGTAACCACGTTCGCCTTTCTCATTGAATTCAAGTTTCTGGGTCTTTGCTAAAACAGTAACAGATGTTTAATTAATAGTACCCAAGGTCTGGAGAAAGTATTGCCTGAATATGTAGCTATTTCAACCTCATGTTCAGTTAGAACCCATTTTATCCTACTTAGGCATAACAACAATTTTAAGAGCTATTTTGTGGGTGAGAAAACTGTTTAAGTCACTTGCTTAAGTCAGAGAGTAGTAAATAAGTAAAAGTGGGTTTGGGATCTGAACGCTGGTGTATGTGTCTTCTCAGCTAGTGCTCTTCACCATTACACTAAGCACTTCCCAAATTGGCCTTGGAACTTTCCATGCTTGATAGTACTGTCCTGTTGCCTAAATTTAACAAAACTAATATTTTTTATACTTGTTTGGAAATTATTATAAAATACTGGCTTATAGAATTTTCTTACAAAATCACACTTGCATGAAACTATTTTAAGAGTAATAAAAAGGGGGATGCCTGGGTGGCTCAGTTGGTTAAGCGACTGCCCTCAGCCCAGGTCATGATCCTGGAGTCCCAGGATCGAGTCCCGCGTCGGGCTCCCTGCTCGGCAGGGAGTCTGCTTCTCCCTCTGACCCTCCCCCCTCTCATGTTCTCTGTCTCTCATTCTCT